GGTCGACAGTAGGCCCTGAATTGGGTGTTGGTTACCTTTGACCGGAATGCACGTGTTACATTCATGAACATATTTTTTAACGTCTTCTGTCATTCCGGGTCAGTAATAATTTTGACGAATACGATCGAGAGTTTTATACCTCTCCAGGTGTCCAGCTTGGGGTGTCATGGCTTTCTCTAAAGATCTCTAATATTTTGATCTGTTTTATTATAAGTTTTCGGGGATGTTCGTCATTTAGAAAAGCTTCAGCATGATCGAGTCGATAATAATATAATTCATCGTTTTCAATTTTCCATTCCGGGAATCTACTGGGACTCTTCTCGACTAAGCAACAGTGAGTTTGATACCAGTTTTGATGGCAGATCGAATTTAGATTTATTCGATTTTTTATCGTTTGTTCCACAATCTTTTCTCATCCCAATGGGTCAACGTCGATTTCGAACATCCGTCAGAGGGCATCTGGGGCCTCATTCAGCGTTCCTCGTGTGTGTTCGATTGTTAGATCATGTTGCAATAGATAAATTGCCCACCGAGCAAGTCGGCCTACCGTGTTTTCCAGACTATGAAGCCACGATAAAATCTGGTCATCGGTAACCACTTAAAACTTCATCCCTTCTAGGTAACAACGCAACGTGTCGACTGTCCATAGAACCGCGAGACATTCGTATTCCGTAGTCGTGTAATGAAAGTCACCTCCGCGCAACGGTCGGCTCAATGTCTTGATTAACATCTCCCTATCTGTTTTCGGATGTTTCTGTACTAAAATCGCGTCTACACCGAAATCGCTCACGTCCGTATAAAGAATGAACGGCTGCCTTGGTACTGACGTATACAGCCGGGATATATCGATTAAGGCTCTTTTAACATTCTCGAAAGCCGTTTGCTCAACCTCTGTCCATTGCCACGGGTGCTTCGGACTTGTCAATTTATTTAGTGGTCCTTGGATTTTAGCCATGTTCTTTCAATGTCGATGATACCAATTAACTAATCCGTTGAACTGTCTATGTTGAGTACGTTCTTGTGGTACCGGATAATCCATTATTGGATGTATTTGTTAACTTCCTGTTCTATTTTAGGGTTTGGTCTCATTCCGTGTTGATCAATGATGTAGCCAAGGTATTTAATTTCTCGACAAGCAAAGTTACTTACCGCTCGGTTGATTTTCAATTTTTCTTCACGTAAGACTTCGAATAAAATCGACAATAACGTGAGGTGTTCATCTAAGCTCTCGCTAATGACGATTCAATCATCCAGATAGGCAAAGACTTTCTCAATGCAATGATTGGGTAATTTTCGTTCCATAATAATTTCTTGTATTCGTCCTTTTAATTAATACATTAGACACTGGAATGTGAATGGCGCACTTGTCAATCCGTAGGGTATCCGAACCCATTCTAGCAAGCCTTTACCCTCGACAACAAAAGCAGTATACTTTTTACTTTCTTCGTCCATCAGGAGCTGATGGAAGGCCTCGTTCATAACCAGAGTAGAAATCATGTCGCCTGATATAATTGCGACAAAATTGAACCTATCTGCATGAAAAGTAGAGCTTCCCCTGCCGAAGTTGGGGTCGTTCTGAACGCCCCCTTAATTCCCAGCAGAGCAAGCCTCCCCAGTCTATCCACCGTTTTCCTGTGGCAGGCCTTGTTCATGGCCGGCCACCAGGGAACAGCTGCATAGGTTAGGTGTGGGAGCATGATGGCTGTATGGATCCATCTTACGACCTTAGGTCTTAGCCCCCACGTGCTTCCAAACATCCTTCTGCAAGCCCAGTATGTTCCTATGACTTTGCTGGTTTGCATATTGATGTGTTTTTTCCAGCTGAGTCGTCTGTCGATCCATAGACCTATGTACGTCACGTCCTCTGAGAAGCCCAGTACTGTGTTGTAGATGGAGGGGGGTTTAACCACCAATCTCCTCTTGCCAGTAAAGAGAACCATCTCGGTCCTTCTGGGTTAACATTGAGGCCGTTAAATGTGCACCATCGCTGGACGTGATTTAGTTCCTTTTGCATTTTGAAAGAGAGCGTACCATTGTCTGGACACAAGCAGCACTACGTCGTCTGCATAGCCTATCGCTTCCACCCCTAGCTCTTCCAGCCCAGCCAGGAGCTCGTTCACAACGAGGAGCCACAACAGGGGAGAGATGACCCCCCCCCCCCTGCGGGCAGCCTCTCGCCGCGAGCGCCCTGACCGTGCTGTCGCCCAGGGAGGAGGAAACCGCTCTTGTTCGGAACATAGCAGCTATCCATCAAATAATGGGCTGTTCGATGCCGAAAGATGCCGCTGCTTTCTCCATGGTGCTAAAGGAAGTGTTGTCGAAGGCTCCCTCGATGTCAGTGAAGACATCGAGCATGTCCTCTCCTCTTGCCTTGGCACCTTCAATCTTGCCCACCAGGCGGTGCAGGGCAGTCTCCGTTGACCTGCCGACCTGGTAGGCGTGTTGAGAGAGGCTGATTGGATTAGTCCTCAGAGCTCCCATTTTGATGTGCCTGTCAACGAGCCTCTCCAGTGTTTTTAGGAGGAAAGAGCTCAGACTGGTAGGCCTGAAAAATTTGGCGTTGTCCTAGCTGCACTTACCCGGTTTGGGGATAACGGCAACTCTGACCTCTCGCCATCTATTAGGCATATGCCCAAGAGCAAGGCTTGCTCTTAGTACTGGCAACAGCCTGTGTAGGAGCTGCGAACCCCCCTCTGCAGGAGCGCCGGCAAGCTTAGATGTATGGGGTATTATCATATAAAATCTTCATATTAAATCTGGATATTAAAAAAATCTCGAGTATCTAAAAAAATTAGTCATAATTTAAGTTTTTTTCTTTAATTAAATTCAATTGATAAATATAACAATTTTCAATTAATA